CCAGTGTCCAAGTTCAGATAGATAAAGGATTCAGCCTTATCAAGTGGTGAATGACATCACCCCTCTCTCTCCCCAAGAAACCCAAGCAAGTTAAGCATTCTGCAAAACACACCAAGGGGTCAGCTTTTAGTTCAAAATATAAATACTTGAAAAGAACAAAAAGGAATTTAATCCAAACCACTGTACAAAAAAAGAGCCTTCCAGTGAAATAATGAGAATATTGCTATTGACAGGGGTGGGGAGAAAACATACCAGTTTACTTGATATTAAGAATAATCAAATTGCCATGGATGAAGCCAAAAGAGATCCAAGCCTCCCCTTGGTCCCCAAATGAAGTCCTAATATAACATTTCCCCATATCAGCACATCCCAGTTCCCTCCTGGAGGGGAAAGGTCCAGGAAGTTTCCCCAGCCCAAATCTTTGCAGGGGTAGGTTTTGATTCTGGCCTGGAGCAACATTAGGTGTTTGCTCTCTAACTGACCTCCCCAAACAACCCAAAGTCAAACATCCCTCAGCTGAGGAGGGCTGCATCCGGTCTAAATCAGCTGAGTTTCTCCCATGCCAGAAAACCTTGGGCTAAGCAGTTAGGATGGGTCTTACAGCAGAGCCAAATAACTGGGTTTTATTTTTGTGGTTTCAATCCTATTTCAAAACTTAAACTGATAACCCTCCATCTTAATTTAAAAATAAACCCTGCTGCCTCACTTAATCATGTCTCTAAAAATACTTTGGCCAGATCCACTGTGTCCTAGTGTCCTTTCCAGAGGGAAAGCCAGCTGTTTAACCTCCTTGCTTTCATTCTCCAGGCATCCCCAGTGGCCATAGAACTACCACAGCTGTCTCTTGGTGTACCCTTTGGCTACCAGCTATGCTCTGATGAGCCCCAGCTTCTCAAAGGCCCAGATAGCCAGACAGATTTGGGGCAGATTTGGCTCTGATTTAAAAACAGGTTGAATTTGCTTTCAACATGACATCCAGGACACAAAGATGGATTGGGGCCAAATTCCCTTCATGCTGACTTGAGTGCAGCAAATTTTTGGATCTTGATAATATTTAACATTTTCTTTCTTTCAAGTTGACCTCTCCTGTTTTGCTTCATTCTTCTTCCATTTTAAAAAAATAGTATTTCTTTTTGTCTATCTGCCTCCGTCCTTTTCTTCCTTATTTTTTGTTTCCAATAACAGTCTTATTAATGTTCCCTTCATTGTTTCTGAAATTGCTTTACTGACTCATATTTTGCCATAAATTATAGCTTTTTTCTTTTTCTATTTGGACTGCATTTCCCCCCCAAATACAATCCTTTCTGAGAAAAACACATCCCCCCCGCCAAATCCCTTAAATTACTTAGCAAGTCCTTCTTTGAAGAAATTTTGACCCAGGTGTGATGTCTTATCTGTTGCCATTAAATAGCTGTTTGGTTTTGACATGATAAATCACCAGTGTGTTTTAAATAGTCTTGGTTTTAAAGTGGAATTTAGTTCTGTTGGCAAAGGCAGGGACACATTGTCTTTCTTCCTACCACTCTTTTTTATACCATTTAAGACTATAATGATAAATGCATTTTCTCCGTCTGATATTTTAAAGAACAAAGGTCTTGGACATGTGTCTTTCCTCTGTACACTTGATTTTATTGGGTAACACTGAGATGAGCATAACCTTGCATGAGATGGTTGTGAAAAACCAAAAACAACCTTCCCCAACACCCCACAAAAGAAAACCCTTATGGTTTTATTGTTCTGTCAAGGATTTATTGTCAAATTCCATTTCAGCGATTCTAGACGTTATGAGTAAAAAATGTTTGTGGCTCAGAAAAGTCTCCCATTTCCATTTTGAGTCAATAGATAACCATAAATGTTCTTTGATAAGAATACCAAGATGGTTTCATGAAAGAAATCATTGTGCACACCAGATGAAGCTTATCCTGCCAGCCTAGTGAGTAGGCAGGGCTCATTTCCTAGCTGGCTGGATTATGACTGAGCAAAAATGTCAATAAATCAATGAATAATCAGTGCACCATCATGAAATATTATACTAATGCTCTTTCCATACTGATCAGTGCTTGTAATGTTTTTAACAAGTTCAGTGTTGTGGGGTGGGATCCATTAATTTCAATTTCACCTATTTGCAATGAAAATCACTCTCCTAACCTCTTTGGGCACCTATTCTAGAATGAGATAGCTCAAATCCTAGATGTGTTTTTTCCCTTCATTGATTATAGGGAGAGTTCAGACTGGTAGTTCAGATATGGCAGTGGGGATAGACTAGATGGTCTTTAAAGGTATCTTCCAATCCAAACCATTTCATAGTTTTGTGATATGAGTTTCTACTATGTTGTTTTGCAAATGGCCAGAAGAATCTTGTCCAGACATTTATTTTTGTTTTATGACTTTATGATTATGATTTGCTATTTCGGGGAGAAAACTTCAGGAAGCTACAGAATATTACAATTATGTAAGTTTTGCAACATCCAAGGCAAGGGGCATGTTTTAGTGGCAAACCCACTTCACCATCAAGTTGATAATATTCTGAATTACTTCATTGTCTCAATCCCATTTAAACAGTCATGGTAGCATATAAGCATAGTGCTTTACTTTTATTCCTTAGAGCTTTAGGTAATGGAGACAAATTTCCAAAATAAACAGAGGAACTGTTCACCTTAGCTCCAGATAAAACTCCTGTGTCAAAGTTCCTCACTGAATACAACATTTTGATGCTGATTTTAATGTTTTAATCTCAACAGTTTTAACTGTTTAAACAAAAAGTCTAATGTAGCATATATCATTATTTTGATAAAAGCAAATATTATTCTGAGGATTATATAAAAAACCAGGCAGTAAACTACCAACATTTAGATGTATTAACAGCTTGGTTTTAGACATCTGGATCTCCACAGCAGCATACAGGACCAGACTGGTGTCTGAGCCAGTGTACATTGTTAGTCTCATCTCAATGCTCATTACAAATCCATGCCAGTAATACTCAAGTTTACAGCTGCCTGAAGTTGACTCCTCCTGGCAGCAAGGGTGAGCTGTAATTTCCCCTTCATATCCATCTATTTGGCTTCCAGAGCTCTAAGACTCCTCTCTATGGGAGTCCCTCTGGTCCTTCATTCAAATAGGAAAACAGTCCTAATGGGAAGGAGGAAGAAGAGAAAGGTGCAATTCTCTCTCCATGTTGCCCTAATATTCCCAATTTTTTTCTGTAATCCAGGATTTCAGCTGCCATACCATAATCTGGGTGATTCAGGCTTAGCTCCCAGGACTTCAGATCATGGATAAGATATGCACAAAAAAAACCACTCTGGGGAGGAGGAGGAGGAACTAGAAGCCAGCATTTCTTTTTCCAGTTAGTACAGCTGGGTTATGGAGTCATGATTCTTCTCTGGTCCAACAAAGCTTGAATTCTTCTTGAACAGCTTCTGAGGTTCAGCAGAGGGAAGGACAAGTGCCAGAACTATCTGGTAGCTAGATGACTTTCCTGGGAGACACATGAATTACTGAAAGCAGGATCACTGCTTGGCCTAATGGTCTGAGTGCTAGGGAAGGATGGGGGATGAGACAGAAACTTCCTCTGGCTGAGTTTTAAAAAAAAATGGTTGCTGCAGATGAATTTTACCTGAACCCAATTCTGCTGGAATAAGGCATGGACAAAGGTCTCTGCTCAAGGGAAGCTTTTAATGCATTTGTAAGCAACAATTGCATTGCTCTATCAAGATGGGAGTAGACAGAATGAGCTTGGAGACAGTCGAGGGCACCTGAGGGGTCTTTAACTTGAGGAGCATGATACGTGGTTTTCTCTTAAGAGCAGCTGTGTGAGGTTTTTTAAGTTGCTCCTGTTATGAAGATGGGTGTCCAGTGGAGCTGGATAAACCAGCTAATGTCCTCAGGGACAGCATTATGATGTCCCTGAGGGCATTATTAAACATCCTCATACCTTAAAAATCTTGTCTCTGATACCAATTACTTTCTGTTAGAGGGCAACCTAGGCCAGCAGCTCCCCAGGGATTGGGACCACATGGGTTCCACTGGGGTGGCAAGGCAGAGCCTGGCCCATCCCTCTGTCCCAGTCAGGTGTGGGGCAGAGCAGGGCACCAGGGCAGCCACAGCCCCTGGCATCATGCACTTCCCAGGGATGGGCTGAGGCCACACCAGGACACGTGGGTGGGACTCCATGACCAGGCAGGGAAGCTGGAGACCAGAGCTACTGTGACATTGGTGGGGCAGGGAGCAGCTGGCCCAGGAGGCTGATGTGGTGTCCTTGCCATGGACAGTGTGCAGGGAAACCGGGGTGGCTGGGCAGGGGCAATCAGGGCTGTCAGTTCCTCGGGGCCCAAACACTTGCATGCACTGGTCAGTCAAAGGCAGGCAGGCTGCATGAGGCTGCTGCTGTGCTGCCAGCCATGCCCTGTGTTTGTCCACCCACTTGCCTTAGCTGCTCTGGGCAAAGCCTTACCTGCATGACTTCTGTGTATGCCTTGCCTCCCCGTGGGCTTGGATTTCACCATTGATGCCTGTTTACAAAACACATGCCACTAAATCCAGCTCATCTATGCAACCTGAGATCCACCATCTCAGCTGCCAAGATACTGATTTAAACATCCTTGAAAGGACACGTGTCTTTCCTATTTGGTTGCAAGTTAGTTTCCCTTTTCACAGGTAACAAAACCCTCACCCACAACTCTCTTAATAAAAATACCCTGCTCCACAAGCAGAGGTTCCCAGGGGCCTGAGCTCCCTGGAGCAGTCAGCTGCTGCATGATGGTTTGCAGCTGTTCATGGCGATTCTGCTGTGGGTGGTTTAACACTCATGAGGGCACACCACATGGTGAACTCAGACTCTCAACATGACATAATTGCTGTCTTTGAACAAAATAAACACCTCAGAAACATAAACAAAGATGTTTATTGCAAATAAAAAATCATATTCACATCATTAAGTCTTATGAAATATAAAGACGTCATTTTGCAAGTTGTCAAGCACCCATGCAAGGGCTGCCATTTTCATCAGAACAGCTGCCTGGGACATGCATGTATTCATCTGAATGTGCCCAGCCAAATCTCTAGCCTTCTTTCTAGAAAGGTCTTGATTTGACTGCTGACATCGTTCTGACATTTTCACAGTTTCATTTTCTCCGGATCTGGCAGTAGAGGCTCATAGAAAACACTAAACCAAGAATCTGAAAAAAAAGATATTTCTGGTATTACCTGGCAGTTCTGGAAACCTCAGAATACAACTGATACACAATGGGAATATTTTGTTTGCAAATATCTTGGATTTATATGCTATGCAGAATGTGGCTCTTACAAAATAGGGACACTTCAATGAAGTTAGTTTATAGCACAGGTAAGACTGCAGACACCATGGAGAAGTTTCATTTGTTTAAAAGATGGACTGCCTCTGTCCATGAAGGCCCAGTCTGTGAAGGTGTTCCACAGAAGTGGAAAGCGCCCAACTGACATCTTTGAAACCACGAACACTGACATACCTTATTTACTAAAAATACGGTATTTTATCTATAAATATCACATATATCTCTGTATAAGGTCTCATACAGAGACAGAGGAGAGCATATGTAGTACAGAGGTACAGCTAAGACGAAGGGATGGACTCACATCTGGAATAAACAGACAGGGCTTCCCTGACATACCATGCCCACATTTCCACTTGCACCCAAATGAAACTGGGCCCTTCTTATCTGTATAATTTTCACTAGTAGGGTGAGCTAAAAGCAGTAACAGCTCACAAGTGGCATAATGGAGCAGGCAGAGGGGGGAAGCACGCTTCTTTTTATCTGGGATTTCCTAGAACAGAGAGGTAGTTAAGCAAGTGGCCTTTGATTTGCAATAGCTTGAGTTAATATGGAAAGGCTAAATGTTTATCAAGTGTAAATTGCCATCTGCAATTTGTGCTGAGTCTCATATTGCTTATTCATTTTGTTTTCTAATCCTTTTATGATTGGGAGAGGCAGCCAGCACAGAAAATGCCAGCTGGAGAGCAGGAAAGAATGATGGCCAATGAACTAAAGGCTATAACTCACATAACTGCAGTAACTAGAGCAAAGTGACTTATAATTTGCCTTAGGGATACAGATGCAATTTTACACTTCTATTACATTTTGAAGGCCATTTAATATCAGTGTATTTCACCTATTTTTCCCTCAAAGTAAACATATGGGTGAGAGATCTGATTGCCCACTTATAGCTCCTTAAACACCAGAAAGCCTGTGCTGATTAAGAAGCTGGTGGCCTGTCCTCTTCCAGTGCTGCAGCTACATAATTCTTCCCCACTTATTAATATTTTCCTGGAAACATAGTTTTGAGCTGGGGCTGTTGCCCACTCTTCTACCATGAAGAGCAGCCCTCTGCCGAGAAGTTTTTGCTTTGAATAACAGACTGAACTTTCCACAGCAATCTTTGTCATTTCTGTTTTCCCCTCAAACATCCACTGGTGGAGAGCGAGGGTGGAGGAAAACCAAGAAGGAAGAGTGAAAAGAAAAAAAAAATAGCTGAAGAAAGCGTCATGATGAAATCCTCTGTTTCTTTATCATTTTCTCCTATTGAAATCAAAATCAAGTAGCTCACTGGATAGCCTCACTTCTTTTCCTGTGCACTCAGACACATTAATGCATCATCTTGATGCTTAAAGTTTTAATGCCTCAGAATTATAATTTTGTACCAAAACTTCTTAATGATAAAAATATGTACTTTAGAGGCTAAGTTTCCTTAGAAGATGACTGTTTCCTCAAGAAAAGATGAGAAAGATGGGGAAAAATCTGTCTATTCTTCCTCATGTCTTCTGGCGCTGTTTATTTGCACACCACTCTGTACACAGGGCTCAGTGTCAAGGCACAGCCTGGCTTCAGAACTGGCAATTTTTTGGAAGAAAATGTCTGATGTGATACACTTATACAGGGTGGTCCGATCTCACCTGAAGTTTGCAGCTCAGCAGCTATATTCTTTAATGAAGTATATTTATATAAAATAACAGTAAAGTTATAGTTAAGGTGGTTTCCCCTTGTCTATTAATTGAGCAAGCCAAGTGTTTTAATCCCATTCCCAATGTATTTCCAAGTAGAACATATTGCTTGTCAGCTACTAATTATCTTAACAGTGTACACTGGTACCTCAACAACAGCCAGTCCAAAGGCAATCCCCATAATTATGATCAGATTGTCTTTAATTTGTTGCATAATCACTTCTCCACAAGGCTGAAAAATAAAACAAAATTATTAATTATAAGTAAGCAATATTATCCTATGGTTATATAGGCATGCATCTTCTAAAATAATTCAAACTCACTGTTTAGCTCTGTGCTAAAATAAGTCTATTTGAATTTACTCTGGCTGGTTGCTAATGAACATAAAAAACACTGTTATGTGTACCTCATGCTCTGCGGAAGTCTTTCCCTTCCCAAGTATCAAGATTCAGTAGCCAACCATAAAAAGCTACTATTTCAAAGGAAGACATACAGCTGTAATGCCTAATGTTTGCATTATTTTCAGTAAACAAGGAAAGAAGTGTTTGTTCTTAATTTCACTTGATAATCATTCACTATTAGGAAAGAGCCAATGCAGCCATGACCAGATCTGAAAGGGAACTTCAGTTTCCCACCAATCTAATCTTTGGGTTTGAAACTTCAAAGTTTATTATTAGACTTGGGATTAACTAAAAATATTTGGTTATAAAACCTAGCTTCAAAATTATTTTTGTCCAGTGTTTGGTCTGTCCAATGTTTATCCAATTTAGGCTGGACTGGAAGGAAGAGAGTAATCAGCACGGCTTCATGAGGGCAAAGTCTTGCTTGTTGAACTTGATTTCCTTCTGTGACAGGGTAACCCACCTAACTGATCTTGGAAAGCCATTAGATGTAATATTTTTGGACTTCAGCAAAGATTTTGGGGCTGTCTCTCACAGAATCCTTCTGGACAAAATATCCAGCATACAGCTAAATAACCATGTTATGCCATGGGTGAGCAACTGGCTCATGGGTCAGGCATGAAGAGTTACAGTAAGTGAGACAACATCATTCTGGAGTCTGGTTAGTAGTGGGATTCTGCAGGGCTCCATCCTCAGTCCAATTCTCTTCAACATGTTCCTTAACAACTTAGATGCAGGACTCAAAGGAATACTAAGGAAGTTTACCAGCACTGACCTAGGAGGACCTCTTGACTCCCTTGAGGAAAGAGAGGCCCTATAGAGAGAGCTCAACAAAACAAAGGGATGGGAAATCAGCGATCATATGAGCTTTAACAAGCTCAAGCGCTAGATTTTACAGCCCTGGTTATGTTGGGGTTCGACTGGGGAACGAGAGGCTGGAGAGCAGCCCCACAGAAAGAGACTTAGGGATCCTGGTCCATGGCAAGTTGAACAGGAGCCAGCAGTGCCCTGGCAGCCAGGAGGGCCAACCCTGTCCTGGGGGCATCAGGCACAGCATGACCAGCCAGGCAAGGGAGGGGATTGTCCTGCTCTGCTCTGAGCTGGGGCAGCCTCTCCTCAAGTGCTGGGGACGGGTTTGGGTGCCACAATATAAGAAAGATATAAAGCTATTAGAGACTGTCCAAAGAAGAGCCATGGGGATGGTGAAGGGCCTTGAGGGGAGGCCTTGTGAGGGGTGGCTGAAGACACTTGCTCTATTCAACCTGGAGGAGACTGAGGAGAGACCTCATTTGGGTCTTCAGCATCCTCATGAGGGGAAGCAGAGGGGCAGGTACTGATCTCTTCACTCTCATTAACAGTGACAGTACTCAGGGAAATGCCATGAAGCTGAGTTAGGGGAGGTTTAGGTTGGATATCAGGAAAAGGTTCTCCACCCAGAAGGTGGTTGGGCACTGGAGCAGGCTCCCCAGGGCAGTGGTCACAGCACCAAGCCTGTCAGAGTTCAAGAAGTATTTGGACAATGCTCTCATACACATGGTGTGATTCTTGGGGTTGTCCTGTGCAGGGTCAGGAACTGGACTCAATGGTCCTGATGGGTCCCTTCCAACTCCTCCTATTCTATGATTCTACAGCTGAAGTTCTGTGTAGAGCTACTCTGGAATATTTGCATACGTCTGTTCTTACAGTGACTATGTCTCCAGGCGCTGACAATCCTCCTGCAAACAGGAGGGAATGCCAAGTACAGCTTAAATACATCAAAATTACATTACTGTTGCAACACTAAAACTGTCTTCCCCCCAAATATGGTTGTATTTTTTCATCATATTTCCTCTCTCACAATAAACACATGGGTCTTCTCCTTATAGCTCTTCTAAAAATCTCTCACTTAAGCTGACTCATAGCTGCACTGAATTTCAAATTTTTCTCATATCAGAAGAGCTGGATTTCTCTACTAGCATCTCACACTGCTATGAAATCTGTGTGTTCATATGAGTGATATCTTGCACCTGCAGTAATTTCACAGATGGCTTCTCATGTGTCCTTTGAGGGCTTGCCTGAGGCCAAAAAGACATTAAAGTGGGGCCAAAACAGCCTCTTTGTATACATCTTATTTCCAGATTGGGCTCCGGTATCCTCTACTTAACAAGACTGTTTCTTTGCTTTAAAAGAGTATTTGCTTATGTGGCTCTACATGGGGAGGAAATTACTGCTCAGGCAGGACCAGAGCAGTGCAATTAGAGAATTATACAACCAGAATGGACATTTGCAAAAACCTGGTAAGTGCTAGGTGCATACTGGCAAACTTTGCACCACCAGCATTATAAAACTTCAATTACTTTGTGCTATTCAATTATTTCGTGCATTTGTTTTTTAATATTTTTTTTTCATATCCATAGAATCCAGATTTCCTCATAAGGGGACCATGAAGTTTTTTATTTGAGATCTCTGCTTTCTACTAGATGGTAGTCTTCTGGATGTGCTTTCTTTTTGCCTGTCACCAGATATTTTGCCTTATTATTATTACATTAATTGTTTTAAGATTTTCAAGAGGCTCTAGCTGTAAGAAATAACTCTTTGAATATTCTGCCATGAATACCACAATATGTAAGGCTTCTTTCCAGCAGATCCTGCAAAATGAGTGTGGGTTTTTTATTAAAGGATTATAAAACCCCAAAGGTCTTGCATTTAATGTGTTTGATTTTCAATATACCTTAGCATTTTGAAAGTCTCTAAGTCAACATGTCTACTACCACAAAGAGCCTGGGTGGGAGCATAACCTTCTGAGAGAGGAATGAGAGCCAAAGGGTAGCTGGTGTGCAGCTCTGACCCAGAGTCATACCCTGACCCCAAAGTCATAATAATTTTCATCACCAGTAACCATGCAGATTGCTAAAGGCCTAAACTGGAGACATCTCAGGAGGAGGAAGGAGCAGAGTTATGAACAGTCATTTCTTAACAGGTGGCACGGGGGTAATTCTGCCATAGAAAGAGAAAGCAAAACTTTGCCTTTTCAGAAGGATACAGAACTGCTGACTATGCCAATCACCAGAGATAACCTTGGGTTAAAACTTGGCTCTTTGGAAAGAAGGGTGAACATTTTTCTCACCTTTTTATAGATGTATCTGTTGCCATATCTAATGCAGAGATCTGATGATGGCTTCTCTGGTTCACACTGGCAGATGTTTGAGGAAGGTTTGTTAAAATTTTCTCCCCAATCTTTATATCCGTTTGCCAATCCACAACATTGGTACTGCAAGAAAGGAGTAAATGGGGAGAAGAGTTACAAAAGAGGTAATTTTCAGCTTAAGGGAACTGAGAGGAACGACAAAAACCAAATTTTATTTCATCTTTTTTAATGTGGACGTTGTCCAAAAATTGTATGTCTCAAATACCCTTTACATTTCTATACCACTTATAAGAATGTAAGTGTATAAGTTGTTGTTTTTTTAAAAAAAAAAAGAAGAGATAGGGGGAAAAAAAGAGCAGATTTTCAGTATAGAATGCTCAAAAAACATGAACATACTATAAAGCCAGTAATTATCAGTGCCAGAATGGAACTGTATGGTTCCAGTATAATTTTTTTTTCTGAATCAAGCCTTCTTTCTGTAAGTTATACTTGCAGAAGGTAAGTTGCCAGCTCCATTAATATCCACATTTCACATCTTGAAAAGCCAGGCTGGAAATGTAAAATTCAGGCACATAAAACTCTGAAATCTAGGAAAATAACCACTTTGAATGATGGTTATCTCTTTAAATTAGAAATGGACTGAAGAGACCAGGGCTCCATTTGGGGTTTGTGAAACCTAAACCAGGTGCAGTTTCACTTCATGTTCCGCCATATTCAAGCCACTAAAGCTCAGGGGTGCAAGTTTGGGTTTGAGGTCCTCCCTTTATTAAAAAGCAGCTGGAAATGTTCACATATTTTTGTATAAAAGAAAAGGCTGAGGGATATAACATATAAGTCCTGGTACATTTAAAAATTAATGCAGTAATTATGGGATTTTTAATTTTGCTCATCTCTCCAGAGTGCTTATTATATCAGAAGAAATAAACCATCTCAGAAGTAGAGGACAAGCCTGGAGGTGGAATGGGGAAGGAGAAGTGAAATAACAACATAAGACACCTAAATATTGTTTCTTGTTTCATTTTCTTTCATACAACAGTCTTTAAAAACCTAAAAATCAACTTGAAGTCTTTCCATTAAAGTCACCACCCATAGGGACTAAAAAACCAGAACAGCAGGCATTCTGTCAATGTACAGACACAGAGGGGAAGGGGTGTATGCTGTCAATGTTATCAATGAGATTCCAGGGTATTCTCTGTGAGATACTCAGGAGCAAGCTCACACTAAGCATCCACCATCTGCGGTCTTGCAGGATGGTGGTGTCAGGAAAAGTAAAAACACAATGAAAACAAACTTATCATCATATTTTTCTTCCCTCTTGTCACACAGTAAAACATGGCATTTAATGACTTCATAGCAGTAGGATATTGCAAATTAAATACACTCCTGATGTCTTCTTAATCCCTGGGGTAATCTTTCCCTAAAAGTACTGGAGAGCTCTTATATGGGATATGGTGAAGGATTAATGCTCCTTCAGAAGGGAAAGCTGTAAGAAAAGGTCACGCAGTCTTCTCACGAAAGAGTTTAGCTAACTAAGTCAGTCTTACTTGCATGTGGTGTGTCCTTACTTCATTGCTCTTACAGACAACACTATTGCACAAAGAAATCATCACAGGAAGATCATGTCCTATCAAGGGAACAGAAGTCCCTTCTGTGGTGGTTCAGCTTGCCTTTAAGTCAGACGCTTCCCCATCCCCAGGGAATGAAATTCAAATCTTTGGCAGAGTAGTCATAAAATGAAGTGCAGACAGATACCAAAGACAAAACAGATAGCAACAACCCCTTTGGTTTTTTTACTGATTAATTACCTGTTTCTCAAACTTCTGGAACTCCTCCTGATACTCTTTATATTCTCCTGTAGTACTTTGCAGTGCATTCACATTTGTGCTTAGAGTAAGGTTAAGGGCTGTTTCCACCTGCAAGTTAAAATATATTATTGATTTTTTGGGGAAGAAACAAAACTATATGAAGGCATAAATGAAAATATAGAATAATACTGTACCTGAGATTTGTACACTGCTCCTAAAATACCTCCTGTGACCTGAAGAATCAGGATCAGAAGCAGTGCAATAAAAAACTAGGAAGAAAACAAAAGGGGTAGAAAACTACATTACTTTTGACCAAGATGATAGAATTTCTTTTAAGTTAACAGTTATCTTTCATGCACTTGAATAACAAGGTAGGTAGAATGACTTTCCAGTCAGAGCTTCTCCAACTATTTCTTCTTTGACGATGAGAAAAAGTGGTACTCCAGACAGAGCGTGCTCAGCTGGTGATCGAAACAAGGCCCACACCAGAATAGTGTCATGACAACAGTGTGCAGGTGAGAGTTGGGCAGGAGGACAGACAGGACATTCCAGGTGGACCAGCAAAGGGAGCAACTGGGAATTTATAAAATTAAATAGGATAGGTAATGGGTGAAAGTTGATGGAGGGAACTTTGATGATGGCTGGATGCAAAAAAATCTAGTGATGTGCTCAAGTCTCTCTAGACCCTGTCTTCTTGTTTATGAGACCAACTATCATTTTTACCACAACATAATTCAGGAGGGGCTCAATCTCAAGGTAAGCAATGAAAGCACAGTATCATAATCATGCTTCTGGTTAAATTAAAATGTTCCCATCCTCATTTGACACTACTTGCAAGGACTCCATCCACCATATGTAGCTGTGGGCTGTTAAAGGTAGAGAAACGTTCTTCTTTCCTACCAACATCAGCATGCACCGGCTCTCCTTTACAGCACCGCAACACCCCAGGAACCCAAGGATCATAATGATGGCTCCCACGGCTATTAGTAGATTAACTCCTGCAAACATACTGCTGTCTATCCCCTGAAAAGAGAGAGAGAAAAAAAAAATCTTTCAGCTACAAGAAAGTCCTCCTAAAAACATCTGTGTTCCCAAAAATAAAATAATTATTTTGTAATTGATAAATACACTGAATAGCAACTATGGAGAAATTCTGGTCCATAAATAAACAAAGCTCTAATGCTCCCTTCTCAAATCTTGTGGTGGAGAGCTTTGTAAAACCTGGTTTTTCATAACCTTTGTTTCTGCACAAGATGAAAATCAACTTTACAGAGTAAATGAATAAATAAAGATCTTTCTGTCTTTAAAGTGGCTTTCAGTTGGTTTACAGTCAATGAATCTTTGCTTTTTACTGGAAGTAGGAGATTTGATTACCTCAAAACCTCTCCTACTTTAACCCAATGTTAAAGAAACAAAATCTCTGTTTGTCATTAGAAGGCCAGGAACATACTCTGTGACTGCTCCTGAGAGAACACTTCTCAGAGCAATGCTGCATATATTAGAGAAATACTAGATGTATTTTACAAAGCAGCTTTCTATCTTTTTTTTCTTTTTCCTTTTTTTTTTTTTCCAGGTCTGATCTCTAATATTATCCTCAGAGATGAGAACTTTATTTTGATGTGTGGGACACTCAACTAAACAATTCATGTACCTCAATATTATTAAACATCAAATTATTCAGTTCCCACAGGATTGACTAAGGCCAAAGGCCAAAAGAGAGAAAAATGTTCAAAGAATATTTTCCAGTGTGACCGGTGCCAAGATTAGCAAAAATGTCTGGAAGTTGTCACATTTATCTTCTGATGGAAATTGCAAAGGTATATAGACAAGTATAATTTGAAGAATGTGTTGTTCTTTCCCTTTCCAAGTTGGACTGAACCTCCTGTTATTTATTCTTAGAAAGCTCTATTCATCTACAGCCAAATCCTTATGGTCTGCTCAATTATTACTGAGGCGAAACATGCATATTTTTTGAACGGGAACTTTGCCTGCCTGGAGGCAAAAATGTGAGAAAATGCTTTCAATTTTGGTCCTAACTCTTAATTCCTATGTTTTTGGGGAGTACTAAGTGTCACTTCAGGAAAGTAGTTTGACACACATTTAAACATTCTTTTCTAAATAGGAAATCTCTCAAAAAAATAAAATATGGTAGTGGTTGTGGTCTTCTGAGTTCCATTGCATCGTTTGAGCCATCATACCAAAGATTGTTAAGTATAAAATATGGCAGTTTCAGCATCTAGTAAAATTTGGATTGAGGAGTGAAAGTAGTGATTCTTCCTCTTCCGGAGAAGAGAATGGCAGAGCTCTCCACCATGACATACTTTACCTGATGACACAGTGTCATGCCACTGCATACCCACTACACACAGTGAGAACTACACACAGTAGAGAACTCCAATCAAGTTCTCTTGCATCCATGCTCTGCCAGACATGAAACATCTGGGCCTGCCTAAGGGTAACAGTCTTATCAGCCAAATGGCAGGGAATATACAAAGCTATCTTCTTACCTCCACCATTTTTTATTTCCAGGTGGGAAAATACTGGTTTAAAAATTGCTGTTCTTAACCAACAGATTGTGCTAGGGAAACAGGGGAGTCATCTGAAAAACTGCAACTTAATCTATACTAAAGGCTCAATCTGAAAGCTGAAAAAAATGCTTCCATGTGACACCTGGCTCTTCTTTCACTTCTATGGCCAAAAAGTCTTTTTCAAAAAAAAAAAAAGAATGCAAATTAAGCTTTCCATTTAATGGCCCAAATTCATTTGAAGAAATATACTGCTTAAACTTTAGAGTCAGTGCCATTGGGTACACACTAGGCAAAAGGGCCTACAGGGCCATGGGGTCTTTGAAACAACAGGACCAACCTCTGCTGCATGTCTGCAAGATTAAGAGCTCCTGAAAACTGTTTTTTTCCTAGATTTGAAAAAAATGAAAGTCATAATATCAGAAGTAATTTAATAACCCATGCAAAAATCCAGGATGGCAACTCAGGGTCTTTTTTCTATCCTCCAGGAGGACTTTTAGGACATTGTCATTCTAGATTCTTGGGCATTTAAAACTATATATAAATATGAGGGGTAAAGGATAAGGTGTTTTTGAGGAGCTGTTGAAAACTGAAAGAAAAAATCCTTTCTCCCTTTCAAAGTTGCAGTTACTGGTGAAATGAGAATTCTGTTGTTGAAGATAGTGAGAAAGATAAAAATATTCCCTACAAACATATGGAGTAACCCTAGGAATAGATATGACTATACTACTGTAATAGAGAAAAACATGGAAAAATCTATGCGCTGCATGGCTCCACATTATTCTCTATAACACCAAAATCATTAACAAAAGCATAATTATTTTTCATTACAGGTGAGAGACACGTTTTCAAACAGAAATCTGTGTGCATCTGCATGAAACTAGATTAATAACACTAGCAGCTACTTCTCACAGTCACATATCTCTGCTTGCATCAATCACTTTATCCGACTGCCTGCACCATGATGTTTAATCTTAACATGCATTCCTCTTCACCCACACAAACTACCTCAACAAAAACATAAAAAAAATTTTGGAAATGAAGATGGGAAATTAAAGGGTATGCAGTAGTTTCCACATTTTACATGGTTCTGGTATGACTGCATGCATTTACCTGCTGAGCACCGCTAACACGTATCCATATAGAGACTCCCAAAATGATGCAACCACACACCTGCGGGAGAAAATAAAGACAGGTTAGAAAGGTCAGCAACTTTTTTACTAACATTCAGTATCCAAATTGCACCATATGCTCTCCAAATTTCTGAAATCATTTGTTTGGCAAAGCAAAAGAAACATGAATTGTTGGAGCAGAGAATATTGATTCATTTCCAGGAAAATTCGTAAGTGTAGTTAAATCTTCAGGTATGCACCAAATCCCTGATGTTTCCACCCCAGAGGACAATGCATTTACATGATGATTTATACATGTGTTTGGGAAGCACACAGAAATTCTGTCAGATGAGAGAGGAATATAAATTGCTATTGTATGTGTAAAACATGTCTGTTTCTTGTATAATGGAAACATGAGATTTGATAAGGGATGTTTGCATGTCTGTTGTTTCTAGTCTTATTCAGGACACATATCTGGACACATTCTCTATAGTAAAGCTACCAGGAAAATTCTAAATAAAATCTTTTTGCTGTTTCAAATGCAACAATATCTGCCGTGTCCAGTCCTTAGAACAGGTCTCATAAAATGCCTAGAGTAATTGTTCCCATTATATTTTTACAGAAAACAGACAAGTACATGTGAATGTTTGACCAGCATGACTTTCCTTAAGATGTTGAAGTCAGGGAAGATTCTTTGCAGATCCTGATACATTCCCTCATCTCTAGTTGTGCTCCTGTTTCATGGATCATTGAGGTGCTGTTCCTCTGTATGCCAGTCACTCTATTCCTAACCTTGTCGTTGATGATTCTTACACTGAATTTCTCTTTATTAAATGTTGGACATAGGTAACCAAGAGGCTACTCAGGTATAAGGATTGTGCCTCATGAGATGACTGGTAGGAAAGAGACATCCCTGAGGATCAGGGACTAGTCAGATTTAGAATTATCTCCATCTGCCATTAATTACTCAAGTCATAAATGGCCCTGAAATGTTCTTATGAATATCCCTTGAAGAAGGGACTATTGAAATTAAAATAGTTATTTTTATATGGTTTAGATATTTTTTCTTTAAAAAACTTTCCCCACAGAAGTTTTCATATAATATTGAGCATCAAAGACATTAATGACCTTAGCAGATTATTGAATATGGAATAGGGCCAGCACTCAGACATGGGTAACACACATTTTCTAGCTCTAAGTAAAGCTCCTATAAGTACATTTTAAACATAAAAAAGGAAGTTGTACAATCAATGACAACTGTAACATGTTATCAAATTTAACTAGAACTCCCCACTGAAACCTTTTGAATCCTGCTGAATCTGCCTAGAAACTGAAGGTGTCATATGACTGCATATTTCAGTCTTGTTCAGCAGCACTGTGTGAGTGATGTAGCTATGCACCAGGTAACATGGGCTTGCTAATATGAAAGTTTCCACTGAAGCATCTATTGCTACAAATCCAAAGAGAGTTTGTCATGCTGCTTTTTTTGTTACATAGGACCCCCCATTAAAATACAGCAGAGCAGTAGAAGCAAATTTAGCTAAATGCACAGGAACTCATCAGTCAAATGGGAATAACACAATATTTCCTTGATGTAAAAATAGAAACATTATTTATAAATCAAAATTTTAGTAAGATGTGCATATCTTTTAATTTTTAAAATGGAGTTGTTTTAGGTTGATAAAAAATGCTCCATTTTAGTAAAATCTTAATAGTTTTGTTTCTATTTATTTTCATACTATACAAAGTGTAGAAAAAGACACAAAGTTTTGAAATAGCAAATAAAATGGTCTGTTCCCAAAGGGTCCAAGTTGAACATGTCAAGTTTGCTGCAATAGCGATACTCCATATTAATTTTTGTTTTCTTAAATAAAGTTTAAAGTAAGTAAACTTTCATTCCAGTAAATTTCATTTTTTATCAACTACTAGTGTTTTCCAATGGAATAAATGAGCTTCTTTGAAAATGTCTTCACCCATATTCCCAAAATTAGATGGCTATTATATTTTTGCCTTAATCCTTAATAAAGAATAAATTATCTTGTCTCAGCCTCATAAACTGAACAGCAACAGTACTGCTGTCCCTCAAATTTGGTTGCTTCTTCTCAAGCTTTCAGTTTTGGTGTGAGGGAGAAATACAGCCTAGCTGGTTAAATCAATATCACCTCAGATGAGCCTGACATAGTGCTGAGCCAGCACTATATTAAGACTGCAATTCTCATACACACAAATACCAAACTTACGGGGAATTTCCTCTACTGGCACACTCTTTACAAACATTCAGTTCAGGGATATCAGGAGGAAGTCTTATGAGGTTGCTTCTGTTAAAGAAAACATTTGACTGGAATACTTCCTTGAGACACCTGAAATTACAGCTCAAAGCAGGTCCTACAGAGAGTGCAGTCTCTGGCTCAGCAAACCTGCTAAGCTTTGTTGCTACTTCAGGGACTGAGATGTTCACATTATGGTTCAGGGAAGGGGCCACTTTGTTTGTAGATGGGATTGCAAGTCTGGTATTAACAACTGATCAAAGAGGCTCTGTCACGAAACACGTTGCTTAGAACTAGCGTCAGACACCAGTATTCAGTGAATAAAAAGGTAATTCTACAATTTTGCATGATGTGGAGTAGCAGACATCCACACAATGAGAACAGAAGGTGAGACTGGATATCCTGAAAACTCCAAAGAAGGGAAAGAAAACAAATCCTAACACATATGTGTTGGTTTAATGCACAAAACTGACAAGGATTATTTAAGGACTATTAGAAACTCTGTATAGGTGCCCAGTTCCAAAGCACAGATCTTTAAAAGCCCATAGTCTGCTATTTTTCATGAAACTGGGAGGATGAAAAACTCTATTTGTGTGCTGGAGCCCAGCATGGGGCTCATGGGCATGTAGATACCCAGGGGACACACATCATGTGGTGAAGCCATAGTCAATTTGCAGAGCTATTTTAGACTACTCCAGGGCTTAAACACACTTAGCGTGATACTGCATGAGCTGCTCAGGACAAGTCATCAGAAGGCTAGGAAGCCCATTCCTGAGTCTTCTAAGAGAGGACACTCCCTGAGAGATTGCAAAGGGTGTAAAATGAGAGGACATCAGGTAAATGTGCAACTGTCATTTTTATCTATTTAGGTTAAAGTCACTTTCATTTCCCACTATCAGTAGTTTTCCACTTGCCAGCTGCCTTGAGCACTAGAGAGAGCAGCTGTGGGATGAGTTCCTGTTCCCTGTTCCCTCTACCTTACTGTTGCAGTTTAATGATTTCCATGAATTAGAGACACGACTGTGAACCCAAAAATTCAGTTTCATTGTATTCCTGTCAGCCCATACATCTGTTCTTCCCAATCTTAATTGTGCTAAACTAAACACCCTCCCTAAAACAGTTAACTACAGTTGCATCCCTGTCCTTTGTTCCATCCAGGCAGACCCATGTACAGCAATATCAGCATTTTCTTCCTCAGAATACAGTATGAGTTTTCCAACTTTGGTATAAAGATAGGAAGTTTGTTTCACATTTGCTTATTTCAAGATGCCCCCAGGATCCCACTTCCTTTTTCCTTAGGAAATCCATACTGTCACTGAAGGCATGGAACACTATTCCAATGCTCACTCTAGAAGTAATTTTGAGCTTTTCTAATGCTAGTCTGAGACATTTGCCCATGTTTTGGCTTACAGTAAACACAGATGGGTGTGAACAGGTGTGCTGGTCTTGGCTGGGGTAATTTTCTTCATAGTGGCTGGTATAGGGCTGTGGTTTTGATTTGTGCTGATCACAGGGTTGATAATATAGAGAAGTTTTTGCTATTGCTGAGCAGGGCTTACATCAAGTTTTCCTTCTCCTTTCATACTGCTACTCTGGTGAGGAGACTGAGGGCACATAGGAATTTGGGAGGAGACACAGCCAGGACAGGTGACCCCAACTGACCAAAAGGATGTTCCAGACCTTTTGACATCATGCTCAGTAGATAAAGGTGGGAGGAAGAATGAGGAAGGCAGGGAATGTTTGGAGTGATGGCATTTGCGTTCACAAGTGAACATTTCACATAATGAGGCCCTGCCCTCCTGGACATGGCTGAACACCTGCCTGCCCATGTGAAGCTGGGAATTAATTCCTTGTTTTGTTTTGCTTGCATGAATGGCTTTTGTTTCCCCTATTAAACTGTCTATATGTCAACTCACAAATTTCACAGCTTTTATGCCTTCAATTCTCTCCCTGATCCTGCTGGTGGGGGAGTGAGTGAGTGTCTGCACGGTACTTGGTTGCTGGGGTCAAACCAGAAAAACAGGAAAAACTTCCTGAGGGGCAGAAATTCAAATTCAGAAACTTAGGAATTCTTGTAAGAACTGTTGCATAAAAACTTCAATACACATGTCAAAAATCTTCAATCTGCCTTGATAGAACTGTAGGAAGAAACTGGGGGAGACAGTCCAAACCATCACTGGTCTGTCAGGAATTTCTTTGTGAGGTCCACAAGCAATCAAAGAATTTGGGCTAGCCACAAATTTTCCAAGGCTACTGTTTGTGATCCCTTTTGAATGCTATCACCTTTTCACTTTAAAAAAATCCCTTGAGGCAAAGCCCGTAATGTGGCTAGTAGTTCAACTTCTGGTTTCAGTGAACCCCTGGTGAACCTGACAAAGCTCTGTCAGGAAATCTGACAGTGAGGTTGAACCCTGACAGAAATGTTCTTTAACTCAAACCTTTCCAGAGCTTTCAGGACCTGAAATTCTTGCAACCCAACTGAGATGTAATAAATAGACAAATAAGGTTCAAATAACACCCAGAAACCTGCCTGCTGCTGTGCTGTATCGACCTTGGTAGAGCTGTGGCAGTACTGCCAGCACATACATTCTTACAAACATTTAGTGTCCACCATCAGAAACTAGTTATGCACTGAATGTAAAGCAAAGAACCACAAAGAGGGTATGAAAACCACTTCTCAATTAGGAGGCTAAAAATTCAAGTAAATTTTCCACATTTTCTGTTGCAACATTTTCAAGATCTTGCATGCAAACAACAGCAATAAAAGGAAGAGAACTGTGCATTGTTATTAGAGAGTCTGTTATCTTCTGACTGAGATGAGTGATGTCCCTTGACATGAGGGGCACAAGATGAACAGGGAGACAGATTTGTAGCTTATCTACTTTTGAATGCAGAGGGAAAGGTGTTTAGATGGAAAAAGACAAAGGGAAGGGCAAAAGTTAAATATATTCTCCCCTCCCTGATTTAAAATCATACTCTGGTTCCACTTATGCTCTATTTTCTTTGCAATTCCTCTAACTGCAGCATTCAGATAATGGTGAACACACTTCATACATCACTAATAAGAGATTAAACACTAACTTACCCAAAACAAAAAGTTGAAGATGAACATGGAGTACTTCATGCATTTGTTTACTTCCCCCATTTTCAACAAGCTGAGACAAAAACAGGAAAACAGGTGCTGTAAGAGAAGCTTTCTTAAGAGTTTGACTTGATATAAAAGTTGTCCCTGTGTCTTCAGAAAACCTCTCAAAGCACGTCAGATACACTGTGCTCTGTTCCTGAAAGCAGAAGTTATGACCAAGTCATCGACAATTGCTTAAATAGTTGCTCTACCACAGGTAAATATTAACCAAGCGTTGAGGAAGCACTACCAGTTGTTATCATCAAGTCTCCAGGCTCTTACTGTGTCTTGTGATTTGTACTTCTCAGTAATAATCCTATGACTTGTCCTACGCCTCAAAAGTAAATAATGAAGCAGAAGTTTTTGTTTCAAGAGGTAAGCATAAAAATGCTTTAGCCCAGAGGAGAAGGGGTAAGGAATCTGCCAACATTTTCTCCCTCTATCTAGTTCAGATCCTTTTCCTCTTCCTCACCAAGCCAGGACCCCAGGAACCTGAGAGCTGTGGTCCACAAAAGTCCTACCCTGCAGGTTTCCAGAAGTGTTTTGAACCCCAGCACAGCAACCCTAGTTCTGTGAGGTTATATTCAGGATACCTCTCAGCAACAGGAGCTAGACTCATTCCAAAAAGCAAGGAAAGAAGCCTATTGCACTGGGTTTGGGCTTTGTCCTATTTGCTTTCTTCTGCTTCCAACTAGGAATCCTGAGGCAAAAAGAGTGGTATTTTTTCTGGTTTTTTGTATCAGCCTCTTTTCTGAAGAAACCCTGCACATCAGCGCTTTAGGAAGGAGGTCAGACACAAGTTTCTCTGAATTTGTCATTCAAAAAGAAGCTTTAATTTTGGAGGTGAACAAAATGTGAGACATTAAGAGCACGCTGGTCGGAACTGAATTATGAAGTCCATTTGGCCCAAACCAAATTTTCAGCATTCAATGTTCCTGTTCCTCCATTCTGCTCTCTGTATTTGAAAAAAAATGGGAAGTGTTAGTATATAACACACCTATAGATGGTGACAAAAAGATGTAACTTAGAATCTGGCTTTTGCAGGATGCACGAAAAAACCCACTAGTACTCTACATTTAGAACTACTTCCTCCAGCTGCTCTCTTAATTAGCTTTCCCATTTTCAGGAGTGAATCTACACCTGCCTCTGACTTTCTGTGCTCCTTTCTGGAGTAATATTCTTAGTTATAGCTCTAGGATATCAACAGACTACCTTATTGTAAATATTCACCCTAAATCCGAGAACATTCCTAAAAATAATTGCACTTGTGAAATACAGATTTTGTGAGGATTGGGAGAAACAACCCTGTGGTATGGTTTAGATCTAACACACTCCACAAATAAGTGAATTGAGAAATTATGGAGGGGTGCCATAGCCACAGATGAATCATGAGGAAAGTTCAAACAGTCATATAAAAACGTATGAAAAGGACCAGGAAGGGCAGTTAGGGAATCACAGATGATACAGGATTTGAAAAGATAAGTCTGCAAGCAGACAATGCAATTGCAGCAGAGTAAGTTTATTATAAGCGGAGTTTTGGGAATGGCGTTATGTACCAAAAACAACACTGCTGTAAATCTTCACACAGAGCAGACACTGATTAAGGAAGGCTTGATCTGTAGCACTGTTGTCTGCGAGATGCTTAGCCCAGGCACTCGGTCAGAGATATCTGGGGGAAAATGTGCTGGGGGAATAATAATACAGGAGGCAAGTATGAGCATTCACACCGGCTCTTCAAAGAGGGCCAGTTTTTCAAAAAGGCCAAAAAAGGCCTCCCCCTCTGGGTAGGTTTCTTGGCATGAGTTAGGGGTTTTGGGATTTTTAGGGATTTTAGGGGTTTTGGGTTTTTTAATAAGGCTATTGAACATAACCACAAGCAAGTTCTGGGAAGACCCCAATTTACAACATGCTAAATTACAGCTGCTGAACAGAAACTCAGTATCTATCTTTTGCTACAATTCCTACATGTTTCATATCTATATTTAATGGTATCTAAAACAAAAAAATGCAACCTAAGTTTAGAAGCAAACAAACAGTTTCCAGTAAGTGACAGATTTTCAGCTTAAATCTTCCATATGATAGCCTATTTCTTATTTCCTGGCTACACAGTGCTTTTTTAAGCCTTGGAGAAGGGAAAGACTACTATTATGGCACAGATTACATTCTTAGTTGCACTTACAAGTACAAAGGTCATGCAGATAATTGCAGAGGTTTATAAATCACATGAATGGCATGAAAAATTTTGCTGCTATTTGTCTGCATATGAAATTGCTTCCACTACCCCTCCACTAACTCTAGGTAATCAGCTATACCCTACCAATAACAAGGCTTGTGCCACAAACTGCTCAAAAGCTTTTCCCAGCAAAGAATTTGTGGAAATCCATTTACTTACTGCTCCTCTACAGATCTGAAGAGGAGGGTTACCAGTGCAGAGCCTGGGTGCAGCACAAGGCAGGAGCCTCTGACGCAACAGCTCCCTCCACAATGGGAGATGTGACAACATGATCACACAAAAAAAATACAAAGAGAGAGGCATATTTTGGCAAAAAAAGAATAAGCCAGTATGCCTGTCATGAATCTAGAGTAAAGCATCTCGCCTTTGACACATCCCAGGCAGCTACAGTTGATTTTACAATGTTTTTATCTTCCTTCACCTCTGAGCTTTCCTCACTCTGAGTGTTTTTCATCTTGTTTTACAACCTCATAAGGAGGCACTTTGTGGTGCCTCCACAAAGTCAGGCTGTGACCAAAGCCCCATATCAGATGACCCACTGCACAAGTAGTCATACATTCAGGTTCAGACTTGAAAAATTGATTTGTCCTGGATAGCAGTGAAGTCTTTCAATAGTGGGGTGTGAATAGTGGAGAACAGAAGGGATTTTGCTCATTTCAGTGGTAAATGCACAACAGAGAGGATGGGTAAGAACCATATTCAGAGTGGAGCTCGAAGCTTCAAAGGGATCAGTAGATCTCAGGATCTGCTGGATCAGTAGATTCAGCTTATATAAGGTGTACAGAGATGGATTTCAGGCTGTCGCTGCATTTGTCTTCCAGCCAAAGGGATACTTCACCTCTTGCAAACTCTTGTTGCTCTGAGTTGTCTACTCAATACAAGTTTCTGCATTTCCTAATTAAACTCCTGTCTAAACTGAAGTGCAAATTATAAAAGCTTTTTCATGCTTTCATAGTAAATTGTTTACCCATAATGCCAGGTGAGGCAAATGTTGAATGTCATTAGCCTCGTCAGCTAATGTTTCAGTTCTCACCTAAATGGGGTGTGCTGCCTAACAAAGGCATGTTTGCAGTGCAAACAGTAGGAGAAACACCTTCAAACCGTGCAAAATTTTAGTATCTGTTCTTGTCCTTGACCCTACTTGCAACACAAGGTCTGACTAAGCTTGTACGTAGTCTACTACAACTCAGGTTTTGAGTTACAACCTTAGTAATTACATCTTATTACAATATTATAAAAGCCTGTAATAATTCAATTGTAAATCTGAAGAATACTCTTATGTTCGATACTTAGCAAAATACTACCATTTCCTAACAGATCTTATTTTTGATATGTGGCATTTCATGATTTTGGGTAGCTGATTTGTGATTTTTTGGAAAAGATTTGCAAAGGATTTTGTGACCTTTTTGGAAACTTCCATGCCTCACAGGGTTTATATAGCTATGGTTGAGTCCAAGGCTGATACTGAAGCACGTGAAAAGCAGTAGGAGTGTTTTCAACCAGTGTTAGGCATGCATATGGGTGGCTGTATCAGCTGTCTAGCGTGCCTTCACAGCTTCTTCCAAGGAGTGGAGACTGCCAAGGACTGATAAACTTATCCTAAAGTAGGCATAAAAACAGGATAGGTGAACTGTGCCCTTGAACTGCCTGCTTCTTGCCACTGACCAAAAAGTAAATCCATGAATCTGAAGACATTTGAGATGGATTCCACACTGGAGTTTCCTCGACAGGACAGCATCTCTATTCCACAGCAGACACTTTTTGCTCTTAAAGTACTCTAAAGGAAGAGCTTGTGTCTTTTGCTTGTAGTACTTATTTTTTCTGTTAAAGTGATGCAAAATGTGGGGGGAAAAGACAACAGGAAATGAGGATCTGGTCTCAGTTATGTTACACTGTGGGCATGGCTGCAGAAGTTTTGCCATGAGATGGATTTTCCCTGACCCAGAGCTGTGTAGCTGGTGTAGCAAGGTGTGTAGCCCAAAGCTGCAAGCCCATTCTTTCAGAGGCACTGACTGATTACAGCTCAGCAGCTCTCTGACCCCATCCCCACCCCAGTTACAGCTCAGAACAAGTTATAATCCACCCAGAAAACTATCTGGTGTGACCTCCCTCTGCCAAATAATACTACTGACTTCCTTCCTTTCTTGTCCTCTGTTCTACCACACCCTGAACTGTACAATGAGCAGCAGAGTTTTGACTCAGAACAGGATCTGAAGCCTCTCCACTTCCTAAGGGCTACAAGAGTGGGCTCCTCTTAGGAGTTCCACTGGGAACTGATTTCTTGCCTGTTGGGGCTTTTACTTTCATTTTTAAATAATAGGTGTTTGTAAACATTAGCAATATAAACACTTCTTTCACAATGACTATGATCTTCTGCACTCCAGCCAAGAGATACACAAACTCTTTGTATAAAAAATATAGCCCAAACTGAGTTGGCAAACAACCCAGCTCACAAGAGGCAGGAGCCTGATCATCAAAACAAACCTGTATGTCCAGGACATGTTCATACAAACAGGAGCAAGCAGATCCTATTGTCTGCCTTGTTAGCCCCAGCTCTGGGCTGGGAAATGTATAGCTGGGTTACCTGATGCTCTCCTCTCCTCAGAGGCCTAGGAAAAGGCAGTGTGGATGTATAATATCCGTCATACCAAAAGAGGCCCTCTGAGGGCACAGGCATTTCTGTGGAGCAGGTGAGTTTGCTGGCCATGAGGGTGCTGGTCAGAGGTGTGTCACACCTTCCCTCTGACCACACTTTCCACTAGCCATGTATATCTTGTCCCCAGGGAGAGAGTTTAAATGGGGA